CACCACCAGGGCTCCTTAAAATACCATGTTTAGGTTAGACAGAAAACATCTGTCAGCTGGCATTGGCTGATGAGCTTTCAGGTTGCAGCTTCTGCTTGAAAGCTTTATAACGTGTTTCATCTATTCTGTATCTTTTAATCTGACAGCAGCTCTACCAGCTGCTCTCCTTATTTGACAGTTGTGAAACTGTGACTTCTTTTAGGATGAGAGTGGACCTAGGATGCATAACTTGTAAATGTCCACGTTGAACCCAGAGCTTTGTCTTTAGTATATTGGGTAGATCTTTCTTGTGGCATTATAAGATGACTCTGTTGGAACACATGGGTAGTCTTGATATAGAGAGATTGTGGAAGAAAAGGATTTCAAACTCTGGCGTCTCTAGGGTTGGTGTCACCCAGTGTGGCAGCTCATGGTATCACCCTCCCCATGCTAATGACCACAATATTGTTGCTAAAACACCAGAAATTTTGACAAAACCAGTGACTATAAAAACACCAGCAGCAAAGAAAATAACAGTGCCTGCTTGTAGCACATGCAGACAAAACCATGATTGAAAGCATCATTGTAATTGGGTAATAATGAAAGCTCTGACTGCGGCATGTTAGAAGGTTCAAAAAGTAAATTAGCATAGAGTTTTAGCCTTGTAGGTATAGTGATACATGTAAGCTGGGCTTACGAAAAATTTTTTATTGTTACAACTAACTACAGGGATGTAGTTATAAAAAATAATAAATTTCTTCTGAAACCATGCATAGAAATTTTATAGACAGTCAATTTTGGTGTCACCCCCTCTGTCAGTGTCATCCAATGCAGTCTGTACCCCCTTAGTGATGCCGCTGTTCAAACTTGAGGTTTGACCCCATAAAGAGACAGGAAGGGCATTTAAGCTTTCAAACAAGGTAACGAAATGGTTGGGAGGTTGGAAATCAACAGTGGAAGGGACAATACTAATGGGAAGGTTGAAGTGGATAGTAAGCATACTTCACTTTGTTCATAACTTGCCCCAGTGCTTTCCAAATTCTGAAAGATTGGCAGTTCAAGCCCACTCAGAGGCACCTCAGAAGAAAGGCCCGGCAATTTCCTTCCCAAAAATCAGCCGTTGAAAACCTTACGGAGTACAGTTCTATTGTGACACACATGGAGTTGCCACATGTTGGAGTCAAATCCAGGGCAACAGGTTGGTGGTTGCTTCCAAATTCTGGTCATTCACTGACCCTTTGCATTATTTTTTGCCATATACTCAAAAGCAACCTGTATTTTTATTTGCTTAATATATTTTCTTTAATACTTAACACTTAAATATATTTATTTTAATAGATAACTTTATATCATTGAATAAACAGAAAATCAGTAATACTCTCCATTGCAAGATAGTAGCCATGAAAAGTATTCTGTAAAAATGAAAACAAAGCAATTATATAAAAATAAATAAGTTTATTAAAAACAAAATGAAATAAAAACAAACCAATCAATTTGCAAAAAACGCATACCTGAAATAAGTTTTGTAATGAGTCGGTCAGAGTGTTTATGGTTGGTTAGTAATAGAGGGATATTCAGCTCTTGGTCACTTGCTTTAAGATGCACCATGCTGCTTCATGCCTTTGTGCCTTGGCATGTGTTTATCCCTTTGCCCGGGATGCCTTCCTTTCCCCCTGCCTCTGCATGTAAAATGTATATTCATCTTTCAAAACCTGCTCCAGAGGTCACCTCCTTATTCATTTTTCCAGTAACTCTTTACTCGTATTCAGGCATTATAGATGTTTCTTCAATAAACCATTTAAGTGTTTAAGTAATACACCAAGTGTTTTGCTGTTTTTCTTGTTATCTTCTTTCTTTGTGTTAAGTTCTAAATATCGTTGTCCATATTCAACCTCAACTCTCAAGTCAAATGGCCAATTTGACTTGTCCCAGTTTTGTCTTTGTAAAATCTATAGCAGTTACTGGGATGGTCTCTGGAGAACTTTCAACCATGTAACTGGAAAATTCATTCTACTTTCTAATATGCCACATTTGAGAAACGTGACCAGCCATATATTGTCCCGGTGCCACCATGGTAAACTCCTTTTCATCAATTCTTCTTCTGAATCTTTGTCCCACGCAGAATCTTCCTTTGTCATTGCATGAATTATCCCTCAGGGAGCACATAGGAAATACATCAAACTTGTTTTTTGATAATACTACAAAAGGGTTTCCTTAATCTTTGACTATATGTTTCTTGCATTAGTCAATCCTATACAAATACTGAGTTGATACTTACTCTTTCATGGCACTGGACTAATGAATAAAAACTAACATATGGACATACCTATGTCAGAGACCAAACTGAACATTGTCTCTGCCTGCAAGGAACTTATAGTTTCCTAAGGAAACTGATGTTAATAAAAATAAAACCACAATTAAATGCAAAAATTGTACCTATAACGAGGACTATGAAGAAAAGGGGCCTGGTATATGAAAAGAGGCTCAACTTGAGAAGAAAGTCATTCCTAAGAAAGTGAGCACTGAGTGAATTTTGGAATGCATATGTTTTAGCACTCATTTTTACATCATTTATAAATTTATTGTCAATCGTTCAAGATTTAAAGTCACAGACAGTTGTTGTTGGGTGCCACTGAGTGGATTCTGACTCATAGTGACCCCATGTGACAGAGTAGAACTGCCCCATACGGTTTTCTTGGCTGTAATCTTTATGGAAGCAGATCGCCAGGCCTTTCTCCCATGTAGCTGCTGGGTGGATTTGAATCAACAACTTTTACGTTACCAGTCAAGACAGCCAAGCACTTAACCATTGCACCATCAGGGCTTCTTCACAGATGGTTAGCATAATTCAATATGGAAATCATCGGCTTGGAATTAAACAGAGCTGGTTTGAATCCACCTAATACTTCTTACTAGTTGTGTTATGGTAAACAGGATTTTTTTTTTTTTAAAAAACTCTCTAGGCCCTGATTACCCGTGTACAGAAATGGATATTATTGCAATGCAATTTAATGAAGATTAAGTGAATTATATAAAATCACATTCTACAATGTCTAACACATTACAGGTGTTTAATAAGCATTAGTTGCTTATAATAGAATTTTGAGGATAGAAGGAAAATTTATCTTGTCCAGAATTTGCCAGATTGGATTATTCTTACCAGTGGTGATAAGAGATGATTTTAAGGGTGGTTCACAAACATGTTTTAAAGTTTAATAATTCTTAATTTATTTTAGAGAGTACCAGAAAACTGTAACTATCATATCAATCTCATTATGATTATTCTTGTTTGGTACAAGGCTAAAATAGATATTTACATTTTTCAAAAATCAGTCAATTTTTTTTTTTTTAAATAGCAAAAATGATGAAAAAGGTATATGACTATCTGATGCTCAGGAAACACCAATGTGATTCAAAATAAGGATAATCACACCCAGCACAAACTTTTATTTTTTCTTCCTTTCTCTTCTCCTGTTTATTCTTTTTGTCTTTTCAAAACGTGTTTAATGCAGGCTGAGCTCATTCAACTCAACCTATTTTGGGATTCATGAAAGACAAATCCCAAAGTTATATTGCAGTCATTTCTTCCACAAGGCTGGTGTTCAGATGGGTGATTCAACCTAAATTACTCAAGTTTTCTCTAACTTCCAGGAGCACATGTTTTGGTAGGACACACCATGCTGAAGTATGTTATCTGAGCTGTATCAAATTGGATCTGTCCTTTATAGTGCTGGCAGGCCACAGAAGTCACAGAATTTGGGGAAATGTTCTAATAATTATGTACTCATGTCAACTGGATTGAGCCACCAGAGCAGGGTCATCAGTATTTCAACATTGAGCAATTGCCATTATACATTTTTTGTTTATCAAAGCATTGCAGCTTGAATACTCATAGCTGGCTTAAGTCCATTGTTAATACTGAATCACAAGATTTTAAAGGCGATAGAGAATAATATCAAAGAGCGGACGTTAAGCAAAAGAATCCGCAGGGAATACAGTCTTGTTTACTGTCCTTAGTCACATACATGCATCTGAGAGCTCTTCCCAGCTGTAATTCCAGCCGTCTTTCCTTCATGCCATGAGTCAATGATGTTTAGAAATTTCTCCAGATAGCCAATCTTTTATATCATTTTCCCATTACAAATTCAGTTAACCAAATCACATTCTGTGGTTAAATCCACAAGCACAACATATTTCAGCACTGTTTTGGGCCATTATGAGGCTATTGCCAAATGAATAATACGATGTTTGTTATTTGTGATTGACAAGAAATAAATTTTTAGTGTCCTGTCTTTGTTGCTGTTGACAAATGCTATTGACCCCCTTAGCATGACTTTGCTACCCAGTGTTCGTGAGAGGAAGCTGAACTATTAATCCAAGTTTATGAACCTCAGAGAGTTTCATTAATTCTCTAATGGAATTCTCATTAACTTTTTAGTGTGCTGCTTTATTTTTCTCAAAAATTAATTTAAACTTGGCAAATGAAGACTTTAAAATATATTCCCTCAGCTGCAATATTTCACATGTGTAGCTATTACTTCGTGAGAATAAATCTAAGTAATCCTTATTTTTGATTACCTCACATTTTGCCCATCTCATCATACAAGACTGGCTTAAAAATCATCCACGTTTCATATCTTGCAACTTTAATCTGCTCATTTGGCAATTTCTCTTAGCCTCCATACATTTCAAAACAGGTCACAGTGCCTGCCTGTCTTGGCCTATCGCCAAGCATCCCCCTAGTGGTGGATAAAGGAATTTCCTTATCTCCGCCATCAACATGCTTTCCCTAAAGAATATGATGAATATGGTAAAATGAATTATCTCACAATTTAACTGAAATTTCTTTATAAAAAGAAATTTACTCTGCTATTTTTTTCTGGTTTTGTCTACAGTCCATGCATTATTAAAGAGACATTACACTATTGCAGGTAGCGTCCTATGTGAGTCATTTATCTGCTCCCATGGAAAATACCACTCCATGCTCAAATTGGTTTTAATTTCTCATTTTGCATTTCAAGCTCCCAGTCAGCCACCGGGAAATGTTGTTTGGAATGCTACAGACAATAAAGTGTTACTTAATTGGGAGCAAGTGAAAGCAATGGAGAATGAATCAGAAGTAACAGGATATAAAGTAAGTTGTATCATTGGCTATGCTTTCTTTCCTTACTTCTGGGACTATTTCCCCAGGAAAGCTAGGCTTAGATGAATTTTTCTAAATGTTGATAACATGGTTTCTGTAATGTAATTTTGACATACAGGTATCAAGCTTCTTATTTTTTAAAAAAAGGTATTTTCCAGAATTATTTCTTGAATATATATTAAGTGAGGTCATTCTATTAACATGGGGGGTTTGGAACAAAATGTTTATAAATTGTTCATTAAGTTAATCAGTTTGTTACTTCTGATGCTCACCCGCATACTAGTTAAAAAACAACTAAAGATATTGGCTCTAATTCCTCAAAAAACCAAAAACCAAACCCGTTGCCATCGAGTCGATTCCGACTCATAGCAACCCGATAGGACAGAGTAGAACTGCCTCATAGAGTTTCCAAGGAGCATCTGGTAGATTTGAACTGCTGACCTTTTGGTTAGCAGTAGCTCTTAACCATTTTGCCACCAGGGTTTCCTCAGCTCTAATTTAAGATCCATACAGTATAGCCCTGCCCTATATTTCCAGCTTTACAAATACCCAAGCCAGCAGAACTCTTCCACAGAAGTTCACTCTTCCCCACGTTCTTGAATCTGAGACCTCAGTGATTCTAGTATGTGCTAATCCCTAGTTAAAGAGCTATGGACAGAACTGTAAATGGAACTTATGTTCTGGTGGGCATAGAAAGACAAAATAAATAAAGGTAATTTCAGAGGAATAAGTGCTATGAAGAAGACAAAAGTGAGAAATGTAATAAATAAGGGTATTTGTTCATGAATTTTAGGTTTTCTACAGGACTAGCAGTCAACATAATGTCCAAGTGCTGAGCACAAATAAAACTTCAGCTGAACTTTTGCTGCCTATGAAAGAGGACTACATTATTGAAATTAAGGCCATGACAGATGGAGGGGATGGGACCAGTAGTGAACAGATCAGAATTCCCAGAATAACCAGTAAGTTGGATGAAGTCATCATTTCTATATTGACAACATCAGTGTTATGGACACTATCTGTGAGTCAATCAGTGCTCCTTCATCCCTTCTTTTTTCCCACCATTCCTTACATCTAGATGCTGAGAAGGTTTTGGAATGTGAGAGATAAGGCAAGAGTAACTTCTTGAGAGTGGTGCAAACAGGGAGAAAGATAAGAATGGAAAGATGTCAAAAAATATTTAGCAAAATTTTATTAATTTGAACTTTTTTCTCATTCTGAGCTATGCCTAGAAAAATAGAATTGCTCAAGCATTTCTCCAGGGCAATGTTGAACCCACAAACTGTTTCTAAGGCTTTTAATATTCCAGTTGTTTGCCTCCTATAAATTATAGATGAATCTTATCAATTCTTTAAAAAGTAGAAAAATTAACACTGTTGGGGTCATAAATCATTTATGGTTGCCAAAGCAAAAGATGCATAAAAAAAAATTCTGAGTTTAAGATTTCAAAGGAGTTTTACACAAACTTTTCCTTCCAAAATGCAAATGAAATCTATTTTTACTATAGAAATTATACTTTTGGAGTTAAGGGAAACAGACTCGTGCATATGTGTTTTATCAGTGACAGTAGTAGAAGAAATTGTATCTTCTCTTTTAAATTCCAAGTCTGGAGTTTTCAGGTCTCAGTTTAAACACTGAAAAGACCACCTTGTCCTCATATTGTTCTCTGTAGTTTTTAATGACATAAATATCTTTGTTCCCTGTTCTCTTTCCTTGATCTCACACTAATCTATAGTACTGGGCAGTCAAGATTTAATTTTTTGGGGAAAAAATGACTGACATCATTAGTGGCTAATGAGAAAGGGAGAGGTGGCAACTTGGAGGAATTTATCTTTCCTTGAAATCATGAAGACTGTAACAGACTAAAACAAACTAAGCTAAAATAAGAAAACAGGAGCTACATATCTCAGACTTGCCACAGACATTTCGAAAACTGTATATAATTCAGTAGGACAAAATCAGGAATTAAGCTTTTTTTTTTTTTAGGTTTTAAAATAAGACATACTCCCTTGTTCCTAGAATAGTGTAATGTATAGGGTTAACATTACAATGTTGGCCAAGTGGCACCATTAAACGGAGTAGGTTCCATAGTATTGCAGGGACAGACATATTTTAGTATTTTAGGACTGCTTAGTCAGGAGTAGCTTTTTATCTGACATCTGCGGCCTTGCTGAGCTTGCAGTTGCCAGTGACTGCACAAGGCCTCTTTATGAAAATGAAGCTTTTATTGATTGCCTTTTTTTTTAAAGGTGATGATTTATATTATGGATAATAACTTATCTGGAAATGCATAAAATATATAAATGCATATTATACCCCACAAAAAAACACACATAGCCGCACACAAATGCAGATTTTCCTAACCCCTATCCATTGAAGCATTCTTTAATTAAACCATTTAATTATATCAAAATTGTTTGTGGAAGAGTACAATTGTTTTCAAAACGATTAAGTTGTTTTTCCAATTTCAGTTAAAGTTAAATGATATTAGATGAACAAAGTCTGAAACAGTTTAAGTTAAACACATCAGTATTTTTATAGATACTAGTATGTACATAAATATATACTAGCATACCGTACTCTACTAGCTGCCGCACTGATAAGTAAAATGAGGGCTAATAATAAATTGTGGCACCAGCGTAGGTATATACTATGATTTGATTTTGATATGAGGCATTCCTTTAGCCCTGATTACTGTATTGGTACAATCCTTACTAATGAGATGTTTTCCTCTTTGACAGATATGGATGCAAGAGGATCAACTTCAGCCATCTTGAATGTCCACCCTATGTCAAGTTCTATACCCATAGTACTGTTCTTTATTGTAAATGCCCTGTGGTGATAGTTCTTTTTTTATTATTTACTGGAAAGTTAATTGAATACAAAAAAGTGCTTTCATGAAATGCAGTGATTATGCATGTTTTGTTTTTCCCAACTCTGTATTTTTAACTTTCTACTTCATTATGGGTAAAATATGAATACAATAAAAAAAAAGTAGTGAATCCTTTTAGAGGAATCTGAAATGCCTTAATCTTTACCTGATTAACCAAAGGAATTTACATATTACATACTTCAGACTTTTGATATAAATGTTCTTAAGCTTTGAGTTTAAGCACTGCCTAGGGAGAGACTCACACACTCCTCTGCATACAAACATCCAAGATTTTTTTTAAACTAAAAAACTCTTATTATAATAAGCCAAATGCTGTTTTCCCATTATAACAGCATTGTTTGGAAGACTTAATCAGTATCCTTTTAAAATGTTAATTTTAATCCCCAAGAGTGAAAAATACATTTAAAAAATTATCCTGTTTGGAAAGAGGTGGCATGTGATTCAAGAGTGTTATGGAAAAATGATAGAGGCGCCTCAGAAGACAGGCCTGGTGGGGGATCTGCTTCCAAGAAGTCACATCTTGACAACCCAGCGGAGCTGTTCTGCTTTACACACATGGGGTCACATGAGTCAGAATCCGCTTGATGGCAACTAACAGAGTTTGGAAGGGTGCTGTTTGGTTTAGAATACCACTAAATGGTTGTAAGACTCTACAAATCACTTTATGCTCTGTATGCCTGAATTGCTTACCTATAAAATGTGGAGATAATTATACCCACCTTATCTGCCTCTGCCCATAATTATCTGTTAAAAGATAAAGAAGGAAATGTGAAAATGCCTTGTTACCCCTAATGCACTGGGGCTGTGGAAAGAGTTGGTATGAATTCATTTAACCCTATAAAGTCATGGGTACCAGCTACATATTTAAAGTCTGCATTGCACATTCTAGGTAATGCCTTATTTTTCATTTCATGATATTATAATATGGAAATGACCACATGTTATCCTTTCTCAAAAATTAAAAAGAAACTTCAAAAGGAATTGTGCACCCTTCCACATGCACTCGCCTATGAACAAGCCTTCAGGTTTTATTAAAATATGGTGGAGAAAATAAAGAAGTACCTGAATTTCAACCCAAGTATTATATAAAATTCTCACGATCCTTCATTTCCCATTTCTGATTCCATTAAGGGACCTTCTCTTTTGGGATGGCAGAGATTTTTTTTTAATGAAATCCAACTGTCTATCTGAGTGAGTCTGGCAGGCTTTTTAGTTCCTGAGTTAAATTTGTAATAGAACCATGGCGATGTTGCTGACATTGAAATGTATGACTCAGTCTTTCAATATGTGATTTTCAAAAGATTGTTGAAGACATGACTTCATAGCAATATGTAAAGAATATATGAAAACTGTCATATTGAGTGTTAGACACTGCAAAATCAATTTTGTTTACCTCTTTCTTACCAATTTCACATTTTTCAGGAACTTATACTTATTTCCAGAGTTATCAGAATTTGAAACCAACAGTTCAGACATCAAGACATCAGATTAAAAATTAGCAAACTTCTGATATCACTATAAAACATTACTTTTAGAGATTACACATAAGATAAAGTCATTGTATACAAAGGGGAGAGATGTTTATAACTTTCTCTGTAAGGTCTGTATATATTGTATATATCTAGAAAAAAATCTGAATGACTAGTAGATTTCATATGAGCATTGTTATTTCCAGTCAAAAAGTGGAGAAGTGCTTTCTCCAATAACCTGTATTTTATGCTACATGTAATGGATTGTACCTTTTTATTATTTAGTAATTCCTATGATATATTCCTATACTTTTCATTTTTAAGATGATCATTCTATTGTTTCACGTTGTTTCGAACAATATATCTCCATGAGATATGTACTTTGTTTCATATTGAAAAGTATAAAATTTACCTTTAAACTCCTGTGTGTGTATCCTATGGTTATCTGTATGTATTATTTTCTATTATTCTAATAAAATTTATAACGCTAAAATGCCTGTGCATTGTTAATTTTGGTGTGGTCAAAAAAGAATATCTAAAGGGAGAAGTAGGAATATATTATAGTAGTTAGGCTGACGTTACCATTTCTTACATTTTTTAGCCAAATTTTAGCTTTTTATTCTGTCTTTTAACAGGATATTTAAAAAAAAAAAAAACTTTTATAACCTACTGACTCAGTAAAATCAGCAATTTGAGACAATGACTTCTATATTAGAGGTATTTTAGGTATGGAGGAGAAGGAAAGAGGGAGGAAGGAGAAAATTCAGTTTACAGAATCAAGGTATCTAGTTTCTTCTGATTTTATTTGGTTCATGGTGGCTTCTGCCACATATTTGACCATTATTTTCTTGAAATTATTATTATTACCAACTCATCAAGTTCCTCAATGATTTTCTTAGTGGTCACCGAGATACTCATCGGTATCAATGTTAATGTGAGACTTGCTCTTTGTGGTATAACGTATTCTAAATAGCTGAGAAAGTATATACTAGAAAAAGATTAGTTTTTAATTAATAAACAATATAAAATGTTATTGTTGGCATAATGAAAACTAGAGCTAAAATATTCAATTGTTTTCTTACATAAGAATTTTAAAAAAACTTTTAGGAGTAGGAGAAATAAGTGAGAAAAGTGTATATAGAGTATCGGGTGCTTGGGGATGTGGATTTAAATTTGTACAGTTGTAATGGAAACATTGCTATTGTCAGTTGCCACTGAGTCAGCTCTGACTCATGACAACCCCAAATACAACAGAACAAAACCTTGTCCAGTCTTGTACCATCTTCATGATTGATCGTTGGTATGCCAGAGTCCATTGCTACAGCCACTGTGTATTTTGAGTGCCATTCAACCTAGGGTGCTCATCTTCCAACACTAGATCAGACAATATTCTGTTGTGATCCATACAGTTTTCTCTAGCTCATTTTTAGAAGTAGATTGCCAAGCCTTTTTCGCTAGTCGGAAGCTCCACTGAAACCTGTCCACCATGAGTGTGACTCTGCTGGGGTCTCATGAAATACCAGTCTCAGAGCTTCCAGCATCACAGCATCATGAAAGCCACCATAGTGCAACAAACTGACAGATGAGTGTGTCTTGGGTATACTGGTGTACACTGAGAAGGGGAAAGACCTGGGAATATGTGGAAACAGGTTATACCACTGAAACCAGTCCCAGTGTCCTTTCTTGAAGGCAGGACTGATTGACATGGCAGAATCAGAAGGTCACCT